TTGACCGTGTTTTACCACCTGGCGGGCGCCTACTCCTGGTGCTCCGTTCTGCCGCACCCTTTCAACATTCCCGGTTTGTGGTTCCCGCCAGGTTTTTTCCTGTGCCGTTTCGCCAAGTCGAACCCGTCGCAGACGAAGAGGCCCCTTGAGGGCACGGCGGAGTGACCATAAGCGACTTGCGTTAATCCGTTGCATCACGTTGCCGCTTGAAGGGGGGAAAAATTTCATCAAGTCGAAGATACCTTGCTTTGTTCTTCGCCACAGAACGCCACGATCATCGGATCCAGGCCCGTGCAGCGAAACAGGCGAAGGAGGAGGAGGGAAGGGGCTATGGTCATCACCCCTGCCCACGATCGAAATGATCGGCGTAGTCTCACGACAGACGTCCTCATTGCGAGAACAAGGGCACTGCAGCGTTCAGGCGGCCAGTTGAATACGAATCGTCGTACCGTCGCCAACGCCGCCGCAGTCATTCCATCACCCCCGAAATATTGCAACATCGCCACCTTTTCGACACATCAAAGCGATTGCACTTATCGATTCGAGTCGATATGCACATATGGTGCGATGGGGCTGCCTGCCGTAGGGAACTTGCCGTGAGGCACCTGCCGTTGGGCGCCGCGCAGTTAGAAAGTGCCTACTGGTTGCATGTGTAGCATCACCAACCAGTGCTCTCTGTTCCATGTTCCCCCGCCAGAATGTATCATCGCCAGTATCTCGCCACCTACTTAAATCCGCCACCCATTACCGAAGTTCCGTTGCGAACTGCGCAGTAGAGTTGCCCACGCACGAACGCAGCGTCCGAGTTGTCACTCGTGTGTCGTGCGCCCTTTGTTCGTCAAGACCCGCCTTGACTCGGACCACACGCAATATCATTCATTCGTTTTGCGTGTTTGATAATTCGCCAGCCTGTTTAAATCGCTCAGCTTGTGTTGATGCATTTTCTGCCGGCCATAACGCGAGATCGTATTCGTGCGTTGGCACGTCGTCACAAGTCGTTGTATTCCGCTTGAGATTGACAGCTCGCCGCCACAAGCAACTTGCTGTTGCATGGCCTCAATTCAGTCAGGCTTGCGTGTCTCAGTTCATACCCGCCCTTGCACCCAAACTCAGCTTGAATGAGGCGTTGTCCTCACGTGTTCAATGCACGCCGAGAGGCAGATACGCGTCTGTTGACCAAGCTGGTCATCCTGTCTAGTTGCGCGGCGTGGCACTGGCTTAAATTCATTACATTGTTCAGGGGGTTCTCCCCCCTTGAACAGCTGCTTAAATCAAGATTACATCGTCCAGCGCGAACTGGTTCAGAGAAAAAACATGTCTTCGTCTCGCGTTACCCATGCGTCGCGTCAACACCCCATCTGCAATTAGGAATGTTCACTCACCGTTCACCATACTGTAGACCTTTTTTGTACCACGGACAAATCATTATTACACCTACCGGTATGATGCCGCAATGCACTATTTCGACCGATCGCCCGGCCACCCTGGCTTAGTCTTGGAAGAGTGACCGCCCTGAATATGTCCTGGAAGGGTGTCTTGGACTCTGCCCTGGAAGAGACTCTTGGACGTGTCGTGCAAGAGTGCCGTGGAATCCGCACTGGATCCGTCCTGCATTCCGCCCCGGGAGGTCGTCTCGGATCCGTCTCGGAAGAGTGTCGTGGATTCCGCCCCAGCATCTGTCCTGGAAGAGTGAGCTGCGCTCCGCCTTGGAAGAGTGTCATGGACCTGTCCTGGAGGAGTGTCTTGGCGCCCCCCGACCGTCCGACCGCCCTGGCATCTGTCCTGGACCGCCGCGCGCCCCGACCCGGTCCGCCTGCTCACTTCGTCTTTCTCGGCCGTCCCTCCTCCCCTGCGGGCCAGGGACGGGGGCTGAGGACGAGGACCCCCTGCTGCGCACCCAGCCTTCAGGTCCTTGGCACGTCGAGCGCAGCAGCTTCTCTCGTGGTCGGGTGCGTCTTCTTGGACTGTGCCTCCGCATGCCTCCTCCAGTTCCTCCTGGACCTCATCCTGCCCGCGTGCCAGCCTCCTGCCTCACCCGATCCGTGCTCCTACCTCCGTGACGTCCGCAAACGGAACAGAGCGTCGGTGTTGAGGCGAAGCTGAGAGGGCGTCCACACGCTGCGGTCGTTGATGTGAAACTGCTTCGCGACGCCAGCGTCGTCACGCAGAGGCTGGGCTTCGGTGATGTAGCGCAGTCGTTTGCTAACAATGTTGGACGCTTCGGGTTCAGCGCCACGCGGCCATGTTCGTGCACTTGTTATACACCGATCCAGGGTCTTGGCGACGAAAATAAAAAGCAGCTGGAGAGAGTTGTCGGCCGCATGCCGCGCTATGGGCGGCGTGCAAGCTTGCCGCGTCGTAATGCGATGACCAGCGGACGAGGTGAGCCTGAACGACACAGCGCGCGACGTGCGTGAATTCATGTTTCTGGTTGACCACCGCTACCCCTCGGCCACGTAGGTGAAGCATCCGGTGCCGCCACGGACGTGGTTGAGGACGTCGTGTGCCATATCAAGCAGCAATGCGGTGCAGAAGGTTGGAGCGGCACCTTGAAGCGACAGCGATGGCGCCCCAGGGTCTGTTGTGGCTGGTTCCGATGAGCTGCTGGATTCGGTGGATCGCGATGTCGGTGTTGCGGCGGCGCAGTCTCCTCCGAAGCAGGAGGAAGAAGGCAGAGGGGGACGGAGAAGGAAGAGGAGGAGGTGGGCCTCAAGGCGAGCGCTCTCAATGGAACGCCTGGGGTTGTAGGTGGAGGAGATGATGTTCCAGTTTTCGTGGAGTTCCTCTGCTGTGACGGCGCCAAGAAGCTTAAACCTGCCAGTCTGTTGAGGGACAGAGGTATCGGTGCTATGGATCCTGCCGCATTGGCGGCAATAACGTCTACGTTCTCTTCTTAGGCTGCGCCTGTTCCGGCCTCGACCTAAAGATTGTTGAATTTTCTGTTGTCTACGTGCGAGGAGGAGGAGGACGACGACGACGAGGAGGGGCATCGGCGACACTGGCCGTACTGATGGGTCCCAGGTATTCTGTTGACTAAGACATGCGTACATTTTGACGCACGGTTCTGTTGGCCGAGGAGGAAAAGAAGGCAGTACATGCCGTGGCCTCTCAGCTAGGTTCGTTCTCGCCCGCCGAGAGCCGCCCTCGTGATGATCGGGTGGACGAGATCCGCCGTCTGTGGAGATTCCAACCCAGACATGATCGCGTCGTTAAAACATCAGGACGGTAAGTTTTTCGCTATTTGTGGTCCCTGGGGGCCCTCGGCGGGCCCCAGGGCCGTCAATTATGCTAACGGAGTTCCCCACATAAAGATATTAACGGTTTCGTGGGGCCCATGGGGTACGACAACATCGTCACGAAGGAGAAGCTCATCGAACGAGTAAGTACGCACGAAAGGGCAGACGAAAGAAAGGAGGAGGGAGGACAGGCGCTCAGGAAACGAAGCCTTGTAAATAGTACGGTTTCTTGATACCCTCCTCGCTTTGGCGGGGCCCCGCTGGATGGAGGGAGGGGCACGAAACCATGTAAATAGCATGGGTTTCCGATACCCTCCTCGCTCAGGCGGGGTCTCCCTGGAGGGGTGGGAGGGGCACGAAACCATGTAAATAGTATTGGTTTCCGATACCCTCCTCGCTCAGGCGGGGCCTCCCTGGAGTCGTGGAAAAAGGCACGAAGCCATGTAATTAGTACGGGTTTCCGATACCCTCCTCGCTCAAGCGGGGCCTCCCTGGAGGGGAGGGAGGGGCACGAAACCATGTAAATGGTATTGGTTTCCGATACCCTCCTTGCTCAGGCGGGGCCTCCCTGGAGTCGTGGAAAAAGGCACGAAACCATGTAAATAGTATGGGTTTCCGATACCCTCCTCGCTCAGGCGGGGCTTCCCTGGAGGGGTGGAAAGGGGCACGAAACCATGTAAATAGTACTATAGGTTTCCGATACCCTCCTCGCTCAGGCGGGGCCTCCCTGGAGGGTATGGTATGGTATGGTAGGTATGGTATGGAATGGTAGGCATGGTATGATATGGGAGGCTGGAATGGTAGGCATGGTATTGATATGGGAGGCGGGAGGCGGGAGGGAGAAGGAGAGGATGTTCTGGGAAAACAAGAACCCCACTCAGGATGTGGGGAAAAAACGACTCAGGATGAAAAACCGCCCCTGGGGAAAGGTTCTGGATTTCCGGGGACGCCGTCCTGAAAAAAACAGGACGTCGCACGTTTGGGAACAAGGCGAGGTCGTCGGGTCGCTTCGCTCAGGTGCCTCGCGAGTGTGTGCGGTGATTACTTGGTGGATGAGTTTGCCCTTGGGCTATGACTACGGAGGCGGCCTGCCGTTGGCGCGTCGGTGTGGGTGGAGGTGGAGGTGTTGGGCTGATCGACGACCTGCATTGAGCAAACATGGGCGATATCCACGTGGCCAACGTGGTTGTGATGTCGTGGAGGGCGCGCAGAGCGGGGCGTTAGTGCTGTCAGGTTTGCATTGTATCGCCGATGATCGGTTGGCGTCTGTTCCAGGTATTGCGTGGTAGTTGGTTTGAGTATAGGCGCTGCTGCACGAGGTAGCTCCTCTGCAAGATGAAAAACAAGCGTGGTTCAGTATCAATTTGCTTATTCGCAGCCGTTGATATACGTGATCATGCCGTGGTAGTCGATGCGGCGTTTGATGTAGTTGTGGGCGCGTTACAGCGATATGAGTTGAAGGGCGTAAAATGCGTTGGGCATTGCTATGTGTATCCACCACGGTTTCTTCAGCAAGGTCCTTGCGCTCCCCGTCCCCGGCCCCCGTCCACCGCTCCCTTTCGCCCATCACCCCATTTGTCCCCAAATCCATGCACGTGCAGTGGGAAAGCTCTCGAATGTTGCCGAGGGTTAGGCACCTACCCTCGAGGGCGAGACTAAAATTGCATGTGGGAAGGAAGTGGCACCAGTGCCCGTGGCGGATACACGGTCGTTCCGTGTTCGATGTTTCGGTGTCCGTTTGCCAAGTTGTGTTAACGAACGTTATCATGATCAGGATCAGATTCGGGCTCATGATTTTAGATTCACAATATCCCAGAATCCCCATCACATTCTGCTTGGAGCAGTATCGTATCATCATCGGTGCGTTGATATGCCTTCTCATCATCTGCATGCATACACTCAGTGTCGTAATTGCTAGATTGCTCGTTATCCTGCTCTTCGTCGCCGTACTACTCGTCATTACGCACTCCTTCCTTCCTTATGAGCATGGTCCTAGTTATCCGTATCATCCTGCTCCATCCACCCGATCCTGGTGCTCCACGGCATCCGCATCCGCCCCATCCTTTCTTCCTCCTTCCCCTCGTCCTCGCCCTCATCCCAAGCCTCCTCTCCGCTTCCATCCGAGCTGCCGGCAGGCTCATTGCATCATGCACCGAAGTCTCCAGCCTCCACGACGGCGTCGGCCTCGCGGGAGCAGACCCCTGCGTCGGCCGCTTAGACCTAGCCCTTGCCCGCATGCCTTCTTCTTCTTCCCTTTCCCTTTCCGCTTCCCTCCAATCATCGCGTGTCGTCTCTCGTTCCTTCCCCTGACCCCTCCGCTCTCCTCCCCTGGCCCTTCCCATTCTCGCTCCTCCTCGCCTCATCTCCCGTGCGCTCCGTTGCGGTCGGCTAGAACCAAGCGCGCGTTTCGCACGCGCCCAGATTCCAGCAGCTAGCGCAGGCCAGGGCAGCGCTTCTACACATCATCTGCAGTCTCTGGGTTGTCGGCGGCCACTGCCTCGTCACCTGAGGTCTCCTGTTCTTCCTCCTCGTGCCCCCGTGTGTTTCGTCCGCTGGGCTGTTCTCCCTCCTCCCCGCCTTCCTCCTCATCCTCCTGTTGCGATGTTCCTGGCTTCACACGATCCTCATCTCATTGCCGAGGTGCCAGCGGCAGGATCCGCCACCTCTTCCAGCGTACAGTCGGGGCCCTGAAGAAGGAACCCTGTTCGTTGGGGAGGGGCTCCGCGTCCCTTAAGTGTTTCACAGCTTGCATCAGGTTTCCCTTATGTTTCCGATAGGAAATCGAAGTTTAACGTATGGACAAAAGGGGCCTCGTTCCTTACTTTGGGTTCCTTAGGTCAACGCCCCGACTGTAGATCCGTGTGTGGCGACCCCTGGAGAACGGCCCAAGAGGACGCAGCATGCGACAGCAATCGCCCTCGGGCTCCACGCGTGTGGCATGCACGGTCGGTCTGCCGCGGGCTCGCGAGGGCTGGCAACACGTGAAGCCCGCCCTCCGCACGACCCAGAGAGTTGGCACGTGGGCACGCTGCACCTCATCCTCCCCGGGCCCCAGGTCGTCGGCGAGCCCGGAGGGGGAGTGAGAAGGGGCGGGCCTCCTCCTCAGAAGGCTGGGAAGTCCTGCGGCCTTCTGCGAAGTGTTCTAAGCCGTCCCCGAAGACAGAGAGTTTCTCAGAAGGCGCGAGCACTTCTGAGAAGTTCCGCCGCCTCTGGGAAGGCCGTTCCCTTCTCGTTTCTCCCCTCGCTCGCCGCCGCTTCCGAGAAGTTCCGCCGCCTCTGAGCAGGCCGTTCCCGTCTCCTTTCCCCCCCTTCGCTCGCCGCCGACCGGGAGCCAGGGGGGCTCGCAGCGCGACGCAGCTCGCCTCCCCCCCTCTGCGGAGAGAGGTGCCCCCCCCCAAGGAGCGCCAGTGCGAAAGACATCAACATCCAACTCAAAGCAAAGAAATCTCATCCCAGAAATCCCAAAAATCTCAACCCAGAAATCTTCAAACAAATCCCATCCAAAGTTCTTACTTCTCATCTCAGAAATCTTCAAAGAAAAGCCGCCAAAGTTCTTACTTCTCATCCCAGAAATCCCAAACATCCAAATGAAAACACCGGGTTTGCGATGCCGAGGGTGCCGAAGCCATGTGTTTTCATCTGGATGTTTGAGATTTCTGGGGTGAGAGGTCAGAAAACCATGTGTTTTCATGTGGATTGTTTTGATGGTTGGGATCTTGGGGATCGGAGTTCTTGTAGGGGCTCCTGGGTTGGATGTTCACTGGAGAAAGGGCAATCCAAGAAATCCCCCCGACAAACAAATACAAACGAAAACACATGGCTTCCTCACTTCCCATCCCAGAAATCCCAAAAGCATTGCAATGGAAACGCAAGGTTTGCGATGTCAGGGGTGCGGAAACAGGTTGTGTTCATGTGGATGGGGTTTTTGGGATGAGAAGCAAGGAAACCTTGTGTTTTCAATTGGATGTTTGATTGCTTTGGGTCCTGGGGATCGGACTTCCTGGGGAGGGCTCCTGTCTTGGATGTTCGCTAGAGTGAGGAAAGTCCAGCAAATCCACACGCAAACCATGAAAACACATAGTGTCCTCTCTTCCCATCCCAGTACTCACAAGCATCCAAAGGAAAGCACCTGGTTTCCGCGAACCTGACATCGCATACTTTGTGCTTTCATAGGGATTGCGGTGGGTGCCTCGGATAGAGGGAGAGAGAGGTAGAGGTAGAGAGAGAGGGAGAGAGAAACAGAGAGAGAGAGAGAGACAGAGACAGAGACAGAGACAGAGAGGGAGAAAGACAGAAAAACGTGGAGGCGGTCGAAAGGAAGAACACTACCGTCGCAAGTGAATGCTGATAAGAATGGGTGCTGGGGGCGGGGGCCGTCCATGTGTATATATATATATATATGTATATATGTATAGGTGTACCTTCTCTATATATAAATATATATATATATATATATATATATATGGATAGATCTGGGGTGCTGCGAAGGCCTTACGATCGGTGCCGCCGGCCCTGAAGGGGGACGACGACGACCACGACGGTGACGGTGACGACGAAAACTATTTGAATGCCCAGCGAAAAATGCGGATGATGCTAGATTTGAATTCTCTTATGTCGATATAGAGCCACAGGTTTACAAACATCAATACACAGATGTAAATGTATATACACATGTGTGTGCACATATGCACATACGCATATGTGGATGTGAACACGCAGGGATTATTGACGTCGGCACGCGCCAAAATACCGCCCCGCCCCCGGTTGCGTGCCCCAGGTCCTGCGCGGCGTCCGCCGCGTGGTCCCCGCTGTCGGCGGCGGCTTGCGGGCAGGAGCCACAGCGGTGGGGGAGCTTGGCCCCTAAGATCGGCGGTGACGACGACGACGCCGACGGCGGCGCCGGCGCTGGCGCTGGCGCTGGCTGGCGGGCGGCCGAAGTCTGAGGGCCGCCCGAAGTCTGCGGGGGGGCTCTGGGGGGGGGGCCTGGCCCCTTGAGGGCTTGACGACTTTCTCTCCCATCGACCTGCGGAGATCATCTGAGGAAGGAACAGTACAGTCGACCCGCATGGTAAGGATGGGCAACCTTCCCAAGGGTACCTTTGCATCATTCCCTCCTCGGTCCATCCTCGGCCACTTTCGTTGGCCGCGCCCCGCTCGAGAAGCTTCGAGATGGCCTTCCGAGGCCCTTGCATCCTTATCGTGCCTCCTTATTTTTGGGTTGACTGTACTGATGCCGGTGATCATCCTGGAGTAGGGGAACGAACAATGACATAAACATGAAAATTCGAAGGTCCGCGCGGATTTCTTGGATCGGCGCTGGACCCTCTTCCCTGGCGCGTGGAGCGCGCCAGTGGCGGCGTCGGAGGCGTCGCCACGGGGGTCCAGCACGGATCCGAGAAATCCGCACGGACCTCCGAGCATTTATGTTTATGGCATTCCTCGTTCCCCTGTTATTCTACGAGTTGATTGTACCGATGCCGGTGATCATCCTGGAGAGCCCTCGTCGCCACGGCCCGAGCGCGTTCCACTACTCGCAAAGTGACTACTCGCAAATGGCCTGGATCCGCCGGGGGGATCTACGAGAAAGTACATCGAAGCAGACATGTGTTTTTCGGACGCTTGCGAGTACAGGCGGCCCAGATGGGTAGGTCGACCCTGCCAGATCAAGGGTACCCTCGTGTCCTGTGTCCTGCGACCCGTGCCTCCTGCATTTCTGTGGCAACGTGGCCCTCGGAAGGCTCTTGTGTCCTCTCGCGTGTCCTCTCCAATCGAGTCCGACTGTAGGCACTTTGCGAGTAGCGGAACGCCCTCGGGGAACGGCCGCGTCTCCTCCCCCTCCTCCCCCTCCTCCCCCCTCTCCTTCCCCCCTCCTCCCCCTCCTCCTCCTCCACCATCCTCCTCTCCTCCTCCTCCTCCTCCTCACTCCTCCTCCTCCCTCCCCCCGCCCCCCCCTCTCCTCCCCCCTCCTCCTCCCCCCTCCTCCCTCCTCCTCCTCCCTCCTCCCCCTCCTCCCCTCCTCCGGCCTGCTGCTCGGGAAGGCACGCCCCTTGGAGAGGCCTCTGCGGGGCGGGGCGGGGCGGCTGCCGCCGGGGGCCCTCGGGGGGGGGGGAGGGGGCCGGCCTGGCCCCGCGGGTCCGCGGCGAGCCCCGGGGGGGAAGCTCGAGGTTCGAGGCTCGAGTTAGGATGTTCCAACCTACTTTAGCCTTGATCACCAGAGAGAATTTCGAGCACCAGAAAAGCACCGAAACTCGAGGGTTTTCACGTGTCGGGCCCTGGGAGACTCGCCCGACACTCTTTCGACACTTTTCTGGTTTTCTGGGTGCTCGAAATTGTTTCTGCGATGTGGTCCTTAAGTTGGGTTCGTCTGGGGGGCTGACCCCCCCTTCACTCTGGAGAACGCACCACGGTGGGTGCGTCAAGAGGGGAAATCGCTAGGGCCACCAACTTCTGATTGATGCGCGCCCTCGGGCCGTCAACTTCGAACTGTTGTCGGCGTTGCTTGTCGCTTGCAAAGTGTTCGAGCCATCTTGGGCCGCCTTGGGGTCCGATTGGGGCCCTCTTCGGGAAATGTTGGGGCCGCCTTGGGCTGTCTTGAGCCGTCTCGAGGCCGTCTTGATAAGTCTTGAGCCTACGAAGCCCACCGCGCGATAAGCATTGTTAAACAACATGAGCGTTGTAGGGCGCCCGTCGGGATAGAGTGGTTGCAGGAGCAGACAGAGAGGAGGATGAGGATTACATGATATAAACGCGTGTAGGACAGAGCTCATAAGTCTTGGGGGAGCATTGTACTACTACAGCAAGCAGGGGGCACACATCCAACATCAAAGTTGTACATGAGACATCGTTGTGGCCATGCCGAATTGAGAGTCACCTGTAGGGAAAGTCGTGCAGTACGTTAACGAAAGTAAATATTGTTCCAGTCCCGCCCCCCCCCCTGCACTCCCCACTGTTATTTCCACCATGGGGCCCATGATAAATGCATTCGGGGCGTTCTCCAAATCAAAGGGGCCCATGGGCCTTTCTTCGGAAATCCATTGGGGGGGCAGTCGGCTTCAGAAGGGGACTCTGCAATAGCACACCTTTGGAAAACACACGTTGCCTGCGGGACGGACACCGCCAGGGTGTGAAGCCCTTGTCCATAGCCATTTTGGCCGCCAGGAGTTCCAAAGATGATTCCATATAGTTTTTCATGTTCCGTGTGCCTCTTGGCACACCTCCATATATGCAGCTCGCTCATCATCATGAGCCACGTTGAATCGCCGCCCGATCGACGATGCAGCGCAGCCTGTCCAGACATTGCCGTTGCAGCGCAGATCGAGCTTCCACCTGCGCTGGCCATTCCACAAGACCTTCCATCATCAGATGACGCAGCGCAGATCGACATTCCACAGAGGCTGGACATCCCTATGATAGCAGAGGCAGAGGACAGCCTGCAGATCATCATCCCTCCTGCCGCCCTCGTGCCAATGCAGATTGAGCAGCGCAAGTTCACGAACCGAAGTTGGCAACACATCGCACACGCTCGAGCGGCAAAGAAGGCAAAATACGACCAGAGAGTGATCCTTCATATGACCAAGCAACTGGCATCAGCAGAGACTCGACTTCATGCTGCCACATCGTTGGTCCCATCAGTATCGAGGATTTTGGGTTCGAAGTCCAAGAACATCGGCAGGAAGCGCATTGACCTCTTGGAGCCAGGAGATTTCATTGTACTCAATCGGGCATGTTTTTTACCGCCATCATCGTGTCTAGCGCTGGGCGTGAAGCACCAGCGAGTGATCGCAGCAGCGGCGACGTGCATTCAGAACAAACAAAAAGACGGGCTCGCCACAATGATCGCCAATGCAGAGACCATCGTCGATTTGGTGGGCGGTGTGAAGGCGCACATTTCATACACGCACTTGTGGGACGAGACGAGAGTTCGATACAGACAGCATGAAACAAAAGGACGGCAGACCAAGATGGGAGTTCATGTTCAGACTATGGCGCAGCGTTCGTACATCAGGTTCACGCTGTTTGATGAGAAGACGTCCCAGAGCAGTTCAACTACTGAGGTGTGGTTGGCACGACCGATTACTATCCAGGGTACGAGTGCAGCCGAGATGCTTCCAGGGATTCAGCGACAGATGCCGCTCCAATTCGACGCGTGCAAGTTGGAGGAGCTTGCGAGTACAGCACGGTCTTGCAGCCATATTACAATAATGCCGATGTGCGACAAAGCCTCTGGGAACCTGGTGCTGCTACGCCACTGGGGATACACGTTGCTTCAGATGCAGGCTGCAGCGCCAGAGGTGGGCAACAAAATTCTTTATTGGGCAGATTGTTGCGGAGTTCATCTTCACCACAGAGGAAAACTTTCATTGAAGCAGCTTAGACTTCACACGATGCGGTCATACAGCATCGCCAATTTGCATCGTCTCCCCGACATCAGATCACGCATGATATCGACGCTGGAGGTTCACATTCGGGCCAAAGTTCAACGAGTAGTTTCAGCAGAGCCCCGAACTGACACAGCATTGCGCACATTCGCTCGCATAGTGTTCGACCTCGAAGCTAATTACCACAGGCGGGGACATAACCACGAACGTCGTTCACAATTCTACAGAGACGTGGAACATCTGTGCGAGATGGTCAACTGCGACCTCGGCCCGAATGCGGAGCGGGTGCATTACTGCTCGTCTGGAGATGGTGACCAACCGTGTTGCGCGAGCCTGGAAGATTGCAAGCATCGCACAGTGGTTGCTTGCATCAATTGCATGTTCGGCAAGGCCGACCCGATCCCAGGCGAGAGCCGATGGACTCATCTATTGCCAAATTTTCGCATGCTGTGTTTGCGACGTGTCGTCTTCAACGTTGGTCTGGAGTGTTTCGACGTCTCGGTTGGGGACCTGCCTGACACCGTGGATGGCCAGACGACAGTCGACATGGAGGCAACCGACGACTACCAAAAGAAGCTCAAGCAGTCCCGCGTCAAGAAGACTGCCGAGTACTACAACAACGGTGAACACATGATGGAGCTCCCGATACTTACCGTGCTGGTTGGCATCTACGACTTCCACTTGCTGTACCCGATGCTGGGCGACCCCACGAATGTGACAAACGAGATGGGCGAGAAGGGCAAGGCGAGCAAGCTGGACAAGCTGTTGTGCAAGAACACGAGCCTCATAGGTCAGTACTCCGAGAGGCTGTTCGCTAGCATGGAGGCTTGGCGGCAAGGAGGCGATCGGAGGGACCCATGGTGCGTCCTCGACATGATGGGCATCCCAGTTCAGAGTGCTGCCGTGATGCGTTTCGCTCGCAACCAGACTTTGAGATTGGCTGGCGTTGTGTTCAGGCGTTACGAAACGAAGTATTCGTCCAAGCCTTACGACATGCACGTTCTATCGCTTAGTACTACCACTGCAGAGCAGAAAGCGCCTTGCATCGAGCACCTACTGGCTGCCGACGACGACGAGCTGGACCTGTACAGCCGCGGAATCCGCAAACTGTTTACTAAGGAGGAGTTGGGGTCGAAGGAGTGCGGGTCCCTTCTCAGGTCAGATTTCATGACGCACGCTTTCAGCACTGACGTGATTGAGAGGCTGAACTCTGAGATCACCCATGGCGTGCCTAAGCGAGCTCCAGCGACCAATTTCACTCAAGCGGCGAGGAGGAACCTTCTGAGCCAAGCGGTCGCGATCCATGTCTCAAACGGTGGGCGGCATCCAACGAGACCCATCAACAAGCCACTTACTTCGAGCATGGAGGAGATCGAGCGCCCACTGTTGCTGTGCGACCCCTCTGACGCAGTGGAGTGCGTCATGGCACAAGCCGCCACCGACTCGGCCCTTGT